CCCCCTTTCATGTTCTTTCCCAGACCCTGACGTCGAAATGTATACAGCATATACAAACTGAACCTAACTGCAGACTGAGGTCACTTGACGACGACCCAGGGTGAGATCTCATCAAAATATTCACTCACCTTTCCACATTTTTCCTGACTCTTTATAAGGTCCTGTTGTTTAGTCGCTGTCAAAGAAACATTGCAGAGGCTTAGAGCAACACAGGAAGTAAAAACAAGGGCGAAAACTGAACTGGGCATTTCACTTAAGGGTCCGGCTTCCCAAAGGTAAACTAGTTCTTGACGACTTGCAACTGAACCTTCAACGATCCTTGAGTGCCTTTAAACGCGTGCATGAAAGCACGTTTTGCCGTTTTTTGCTTCAATTGCGTTTTCCGGTGAAAAGTAAATTTGACACGTCAACAAGTGTAATATGTCTCTGTAATGGACTGCTCTTCCGGTGTTATCTGATCTAAGATCCGCTGTTGGCATAGCCCGGGTCACGAAATCGATGATCTTCGTGTTAATGATTTGACAGTGGCCAACTCGAAAGCCTCCTTTGGCCACTGTGCACATCCTCTCTAGATTTTCCATTTATTGATATTTGAATAGTACATTTCTGTAAGAAAATTATATATTCTGTTTGTCTAAGATTAATTCATCTTAACAGTGCAAATAAAGTTCAAGTTGAAGTTGAAGTTGCATTTATATCATCTAGACATTGTCGGCTGCTGCAGCCGAGGCAAGTTCTCTTGATTTTGATGTAGAAAGGTACCTTTTATCCATATTTCCTGTCTCCTCGTCTATGCGTTTGTGTACGTGAACGTAGGCAAAGGCAACCATGATTTCTCAAATGTGATAATGGCATGCATTACAGTTCTTTCCGGGTTGCCTACAATATAGTCGTTTCTCCGGTGCGAGAGGAAATCTCGTATTTATTTACTACTACATGTTCCTACAAGTACGTGTAATTCGTACCCGTGCATACGGAAACGGTGCATCTTAAGATCTCTAATAGCACAAATATCCGGAATGTACAGGAACGTTGTATCCCATGATCTTTTATGTCAGTATGACGTAGGGAATACAAGAGATACAATTATACATCGCAGCCACGATTCCTCAACCTGCTTAAACATATGGGTCCGCCGATTGTTAAAGACTAATTTTGAACAAATATCAGTTGAATAACAAGTTTCTTTAAGGTGGCTCGATACAGTTTTTCAGGGCCAATACCTCCCAAATTTGAGCATAAACTATGTCGCCATAAACAAAGTTTTGGAAAAATTGCCACCTCAGTTGTATTAGATGAAGATGAAAATTTGTTATGATCAGGGTTGCAACGGCATCAGAGTTGTCATAGCAACGAAATGACGCTATTACCTATTTTACTCGCAGCAGTATATCTCGGCACTGGGAACTGTTCTTCGAAAATCATTCACGGGAGCTTTTTCCTCCAATAGCAGCCTCGATGTTCGTGGAGTTTAGGCGAAATCTGTAAGAGCGTTATCGAGATATTTTGGGATAAAGATTTTGTGGTTAGAAATACTGTAAAAAATGGGCAATCTTGGTGTTCGGCTGTTATATGTAGAAAACGAAGCGCTTTTGACATGCAATTTCACCTCATAGTAGTTTCAATAGTAAAAACGTGTGTGAAAGATCAAGGAGATAGCTCCAGCTGTTTGCTAGAAAGAAGGATTTGATTAGTATGTATCGAGGCGTTCTTGTTAGCGGTTTTTTGAACATTTTGGTCTACTTTAACAAATTAGCGAATAATTTGTAAACCGGTCGATAGATTTTTTAAAAAATTGAAGATTCTTGAGATTAACCTTCCTTTTATATGACCTTTTAGTTTCAAGATTATTGATATGTTGTAAGGCAGTTAAATAAGGGCTACAATTCGCTACTTTTTTATCGGAAGTTTCGTCATTACAAGTGAAAGCCTCTAATTATTCAAGGCATTGTCTCCAAGTTTCATTTTCACGTGAACAGCAGTAACTAACATGCATTTGAAATATGAAATAAACTTCACGAACATCGAGGCTGCTATTAGAGGAAAAAGCTCCCGTAAATGATTTTCGAAGAACAGTTCCCAGTGCCGAGATATACTGCTGCAAGTAAAATAGGCAATAGCGTCATTTCGTTGCTATGACAACTCCGATGCCGTTGCAACACTGATCATAACAAATTTTCATCTTTATCTAATACAACTGTGGTGGCAATTTTTCCAAAACTTTGTTTATGGCGACGTAGTTTATGCTCAAACTTGAGAGGTATTGACCCTGAAAAACTGTATCGAGCCACCTTAACTTAACAGGATTCATTTCCCATGAATTATTATCAAGGTGGTACAATTAATGTAATGCGCTAAAAAGTAGTGAAAAGGAATCAATTATTGGACATTTTGTCCAAGAATATTGCCTAATTATATTTCATGATGTTTGAACAATAAGAAGTAAAAGAACAATCTCTTTCCAAATTGAAGCAGCAGTTTCTTTCCCTTATTTTGATGC